TAGAAACCAAACAAAATCTAGCCTGAAGTTCATTTCCGTCTCTTTCCTCAAAATCTGCCAAGATTTCAAACAGGGAGAAACAATGGCTCCCTGAACCAAGCCCTACAGTATCTTAGTCTTTTATACACCTTCTCTATCTGCCACAATTTAAAACAAATCATTAACATTTGCATCAAGAAGAAAGCAGAGTTCACAGGTTACTGCCAAGTACTGATATGGATTTTTTGGAAACGCACTGAGTGTCGTATGTTTTTTACCATGTCCAAGGTCAAATGACAATACAGTAACTCTGCCATAATGCTATAGGTGGGGTCCCCCGCACGCAGTCCTATTAAAATGGAGAGTTGCATTATTAACACAGTAATGACGTGGGTGGTCACATCTGAGCAGCTAGTGGGTCAGGAATTAAAGTGGGGTAGAGCACAGGGGGAGTAAAGGGCTTACTGCAAAACCTAAATCTCCCTGCATCCAAGCCTCAGTTTGGCACTATACCATGGTTGATGTCAGATCAGATGTAAGTACTGACGAGGAATTCTGGGGTCTGTGGCCAGCAGAGACTTTCAGCATTTCAGCACTCACCTAGTTCACAGGAACTCATTTTACTTCCTGCCTCTCAAGACTGCTCCTCCCCCAAAGGTAAGAACTTCAGCCTGTACAGGTTAAGAAAGAGAAGGGCCACAGGGCAAAGAATGGGCACCAATCGCCAACTGCGTTATATTTAAATTGTTACCATTTTGGTGGGAAGGGTATTTTAATCCTTTCAATTTAACTCCTCTAGAATAAGTCTTCATAGTTTTCAAAACATATTCCTTTTTATGGGTCTGACCGAGAAAAAAAGATACTCCAGCAATTTAAAATATAAGCAAGTCCACCTGTTTATCTTTCTCGTATTCCTCGTACTTTTCACCTATTGCATCTCCCTTGAGAATAGGTTGTTCAGGAACTAGGTGACTGATAAAATTAACACAAGCTTGAACAGGGTATAATTTACTACCCATGATGCCTTCAAGACAGACAGTCACAGATTCATAAGACTGCCTATACTTCCAACTGTGCCGAGCCAAAGGGACCAGAGTTCATCCTATTTTTAAAGATAACCAGAGCTAAGCGTCTGCCTTCGTCTCAGGTCATGATCCCGGGGTCCTGGGATTGAGTCCCGCATCGGGCTCCTTGCTCAGCGGGGAGGCTGCTTCTCCCTCTGCCTGCCGCTCCCCCTGCTTGTGCTCTTTCTCTCTCTCTGTGTATCAAATAAAAAATAAAATCTTTAAAAAGATAAAAAATAAATAAAGATAACCAGAGAATCAGTTTTTTGTTCCCAAGAAATCCAGCTTTCCCCAACGTCCACTAAATCTTCAACCTAGTTCTGCCACCCTCACTCCCACTTTGTTTTAGACAGTAGTGGAGAGATACTCTTTCTTGTAAAGATTTTTGTTCATAAAACCTTTCTTTAGTGTCTGGTCCAGCTAAAGCACTGGGCAATAAAGCCATCATCAGCAATGATAGTGTTTGCAGATATTCTAGGTCTAGAAATCATTGCTGGCATGTCTACATGCTCAAAAAATTCTCGGAAGTCTGGTGGTTTCTAGAAAGCTTGTGCTTTCTTCTGAGAAACTTCTAAGCAAAGCTCAAGGACCAAGATATTAAAATAAACACATCAGCTTGGTGACCACGAGACTCAGCTAAGCCATGGTTACTGACCCTTCTCCAGATTAAATTAGGGTGAATAGGAACATGGCAGTGGGTGGCTACCTTTGAGGCAAGGTTCGAGGGTCACTATTGAAGCTTTTTGCCTCATAACATCAAGCCTACCACCTATCATTTAAGCTATGTGACTTTGGTTCTTGAGTGCTTTTTCTTCCCTTATTTAATGCAAGCCTTATTTAATAATGCAACCATCTCTGGGAAGGATTACATCTGAAACCATTATCTGGTGAGGACCAGTGCACAGAGCATTTGGGAGGAAGAGTGAAGCATGGACATGGAGGTGGGGGTGGGGTGGAACTGTGAGAAGGAAGGACGAAATCAATGAAAAAGGAGGTGGGGGGTCACCAAATTTTGCTTTCCTCCCAATTTAGCCTAAAACTGTTAGCCTAAAATTGTTTGAGGAAAATCTGTCCTTCCTTTTGGATGTTATTTTATTGTTTTTCAACTTCCATGCAAAATTTTCTGCTCATCACCTAACACTCATCTTACAATATGGAACCTCTCTGTCATGTATAGACCAGAGGAATAAGTTACCCATATATCTGTTAGTCTTTGTATAAGATGAAATTGCCTATTTTAAATATTTCTAGTTTTTTTAGATAGCTTAACGCCCCATTGCTTCTTATTAGTTACTTCCTGCTGTTAAATTAGGTGAAATGCTTTGTGTGATTCCTGGTCAGTAAATACCCTCCCTCGGCTCAGAATATATTTTTAATTTTTTATTGTGAAGTAGACATCCATAAAAGTGAAACAACGTGAATGTGTATACTTAATAAATAGTTAGGATATGAACACCCATGTAACTTCCAACTGGATCAAAAGGTAGGATACTGCAAATACCCCAGAGAGCCACCCTGATCACAAACTGCACATTTCTCTCTTCTTTTATGATGATGATTTTCTTCCTCTTTTTTTCTTTGTCGTTTTACCTACTATTTATGTCCCCCAGCAACATCATTTAGTTTTGCCTTTTCCTGTGATCTACAAATGGAATCACACTCTCTATTCTATTATTCTCGCATCTTTGACTCAAAATCGTTCATCCATCATGTCACACAGAGCTGCAGTTTCTTCATTTTCTTGGCTGTCGCGTATTCCAGCGTACGTAGCGCTATTTTAATCCATTCTCCTTCTGACAGACAGTTAGGTTGCTGCCAGGTTCTAGCTGTTATGAATAATGCTGCCACACCTGGTGTCCCTGCCCCTGGTGTGTGTGCTCCTGAATGCCTCCAGTGAGTACATCTATGACTGGACACGCTGGGGCATGGTACATGCAGATCTTCAACTTCACTCGATAACAGGAAGCTGTTTTTTCCAAAGTGCTTGTTCCAATTTATATTGCCCATCCTAGTGTATAAGAATTCCTGTTGTTCTAGGGGCGCTGGGTGGCTCAGTCAGTTGAGTGTCGGACTCTTGACTTTAGCTCAGGTCATGATCTCAGGGTTGTGAGATCGAGCCCCGTGTTGGTCGGATTCTGAGCTGAGCATGGAGCCTGTCTCTCGCCCTCTGCCTCCAACCCCTCTGGTATTATAATAACTTTGATGTTGTTGTCCTTACAGAACTGGTATTTGAGGGACACAGGCATACAGAACCATGCCTGTGTCCCTCAAAACTTAAAAACTCTTTCCAGGAATCATGCTTCCTCCCCAAGATGGACCCTCCGTGGGAGCAAAATCAGGATCAATATCATCTGGTAAAGTCATTGTATTAAAAACTATACCAACATTCAAAGAAAATGAAAAAGAAAAGTATAAATAGAAACCATGCCAACAGAATTTTAAAGGTAGCCTGGTTGATGTGACTAATTAAACAACTGCATTTCAGGTCAGTTTTCCAGTACCGCTCCAAGATCCAATCCATTAATATTTAGATAATTGAAAGGGTCTTTAACATTTGGTGGGATTTCCCTCATGAGAGTAGTTCATGAGACACTTTAGTCACATGTTTCATTTTCTGTGACAGACACTTGTGAGATGATCAACACAATCCCGCAGTTACAGAATAGTCAGTGACAGTCAAAAATGAAAGTAACAGAAGATGAGAGTGACATAAACTATTCTCTAAGAGACACATTTTTATACAGGCAATCAATTTATTAGGACACTCAACAAATGCAAGCAATGGACACTTTTTAAAAAAGGAATTTAAAACTAATGAAAGAATAAACATCAAGCAAACCTCCTAAGAATTTATATGTTATTAATGGTGCCTTTTTCCTTTTACTATAAAGGTCTAATAAAAAGCCTGTAAATCCTGCAGATACAGAAACAATTTTCAAGGAATCAAATTAACCAGAAGCAGTAACTCGGGTATGATATTGCCTACAAAAGGGGATGGACCAAGGTAGCTTTCAGTATCCCTCCTTGGATGCTAAGAATAGCTCTCAGGACAGGAGCAGCTAGCTTTCTGCATGTAAGTCCTCTCTCCAGTATCTCTACGAAATGACCTGTCAGTGGGATCCAATCTAAAACTTCCCAGGGATGTAGACACTCTGGTGACCTGTACTCTTGTCGCCAACAACTTCAAGCAGGCTTGGACTTCGCATCTATGAATATTAACCTCACATTTATCCCACTCTATAGAAACAAACCGTAAAAACGATTGTATTAAATACTTCTATACACTTCACACATTTTGGGAGGTTCACTATTCTTTACTTCCTTCCAAGATACAAGTTCTTGCTTATAAAAGTGCTACTAGCACAGTGTAGCATACTTTCTATTTGTCTATATACCCCCATTCTCTCCTGTATGACCAAATGACGACGAAGATTTAGAGGTTCAGTGATTATAGGACTTAATGATTTTAACCCCTTTAAATTTGGAAACTCTTTAAATCCCATTATCTCTGCAGCCACGGAGAATTTTAAAATCAGCTTGGCCTTTCTGGCTCCAGGTCTAAGGATCACAGAGTTTTAAAGAATATAAATGCTTCTCTGCAGTTCTCCAAAGAGCTGTCCCCAACCAGTTGACCTCCAGGAAATAAAGCCAGCCCGTTCTCCAGCTGGTAACTGCTGATCAGAGTTTCAAAATAGAAAGATATGCATGTTATGCCACAAACCACCAGGAAAACAAGTAATTGCCTCCTCAACTCCACGTGAAGCTAGTGAATCCAAAGATTCGATGTAGCGGGGGCCAGCAGATTTCAGACATGTGTCAGTAAATGTCTAAGAATGAGAAAACAGAAAATGCCAGGGACCCAAAGAAGCTTGTAGGGGCAGAGAGAGTATGTTCAGTGATTTGGGAGCCTGTTACCTTGGATACCCATGAATCCTAGGAAACCCTCTGAGGTCTTACCTCTTGCGTCCTCACATTTATGTATCCATAGTGAGTTCGAAGGGGCCGCCTATATGTGTAGGAGAATGGTATCCATTTTGTGCCAGGCTGTCCAAAGCAGTTTAGCAGCAGTGGGAAATTCACTTCATTTACAAGGCGCACAACCAGCAGGAAGAGGAACGCTGCTATGAAGCTCACTGCGATCATAGACTTTCTCTACAAAACATTAAAAAAAAGAATGAATGAACGAATGAATGACTTTCAACCAAAAGTTGTCACAGAGGGAGGGTCCTTTGTTTCTCTCTCTCTTTCTTCCAAAGGGATCAAAGCACTTTTCCATTTAGGATATTTCACTTGGAGACAGAATATAATCATTTGGTGACCAGGTTGCTTTCGTGAGCCTCTGAGAGCAAGCAGAGCAGCTTTCTTAGATTATACTTCCTTCCATCCCTATCCTTCCTTCCTTCTCTATATTCCTTAACAACTTCTATTCAATTTTCAAAATGCAAATCAGACATTCCCAACTATAGGAAGCCCTATACTGCTTCCCAACTGCTCAGTTAGGACTTCCTAACTGCTCAGTTCCCTAAGACCATCATCCCTTCACCCCAACCTATCCACCCTAATAGAAACAAGCAGTCTTGCCACTCCCATACCTTGAAGGCACTTCTATTGTTGCATGTGTTTCATTGTATAATTATTTAAGTGACTTTTCCTTCATCTAACTGTGACATCCTGGAGAACGAGAATGTACTGTCATATTGACCTCTGTATGCCAGGTCCTTAACAAAGTATCTTACATATTGTAGGGGTCCAAGAAACATTTGAGTGAATCAATGAATGAACGAATGAATGGATGGATTTTTCACATCCTTGTAGACACTTTATCAACAATGACTTTGTCTCTTTATCTAGCACCTACGACAGGCAGGAAACTTTGCCTGTGCTATAGGATATACAAAAGTAAGACTCAAAAAGCTAAGAATATGACTAGGACAAAATCCATGCCAAGCAGCATAAGAACATCCCTGTTAATGTGTTGCTGTGGAGCAAGAGCAGGAACAACAGCATCTGACGGGGGTCCGGGAAAGTAGAGATGTGGTTGAGATTGAGCCAGATAAAATGCATGAGTTTCATTTAGTAGAGATGTGTGAGTGAAGCTTTCCAGGTAGAGGGAACAGAGCAAGGAGGCAAGAAAATATGGGGTTATTCATAGATACATAGCACTTTGTCTTCCTGGGGCACAGAGGAGGAGAAAAAGCTGGAAACACAAATGATAACTTGATGGACGGCCTGAAATACCAAGCTGAGAATTCTACTGAGTTTGCTGGGTGATGGAACACCAAAGGAGGTTTTGTTTATTTGCTTGCTTAATTTCTTAAAGGTGACTGTTATAAGTTATAATCCAACATCAGTGCTTAAGATGTTTTGGAGCAGGGAGACACTAAAGCTAGGCAGCAACTCCTTAGGAGGCTACTCCCACTGGCTCAGACAGAAGTAATGAGGGATGGAAACTAGAGGAGTGGCAAGGGGAATACAAAGGCAGAAAAAGATATGAGAAACTCAATGTAGGTGGTACGCAGAGACCGTGGCTCCTGATTGGAGAGAGGTGCAGATGGGAAATTCAGAGATGCCTAGAGTTTGAGTCTAGGTAACTGTATGAATCCTGGTCCGATCAGGAGAAACCAGGGTGGTCAGAGCAAGAACTGATTTGAAAGAATAAGAGGATAAAGCCCTTGGCTTTCAAAGTCCTAGTTTTCATCCAGATGGTGGGTCGTCTGAATGGAGCCACCCAGGAGTCAGGTGGAAGGTCAAGTCTAGAGCAAGAAGAAAGAGCAGAGTGGAGGGCAGATGTCAGGAACAACTCTGCCTTGAAGTCCGGGGTGAAGACACAATGAGATATTGCTCCACAAAGCTGGGCTTGGCCCTTGATTCTTCTTCAAACCCAAATAACTTTCCAGGAATGACTGGCTATGTGTTGTTGTGTTTCCAGCTTACCACTTCCTGGTGAAATGAGCTTCTTTTTGCTCTTCACAGAACGTCCCAAAGGAGAAAAGAAACCCAAAGCCAGCCCCTGTTCCTCACTGGGTCACGGTCACCATCTCTGCAAGGAAAAGCCAGAGACCCCAAAAGAAGTGTTCGCTCTTGCTCAGCTCCCGTAATTTATAAAAGTCCCATTCTTCTGTCTAGCCAGCCTAATTTTCCAATCACCTGAAAGTCCCTTGAGTTCTGCCTCCTCAAAACCCCTTATCTCACCACTAACTACCACCGCCTTACCTCATTTAGCCTTCTAATTATGAAAAACTGTTTTAATTTGCTACTCTGTGGAATCATTATGTCCACAACATTGCAATGTGTCAAGGTAACAGCTTAAATGAGGTGATGGATCTTACAAGTTTAAAGGGACACAGACCAGAACAGATGGCTAAATAAAAGCAAAGAGGCCAGTCACCCATTAAGTAAACAGGTAAGAACCTTTTTTATCGCCATCCGGTAGCTTGTTGCAAAACAGCAGTTTTCTTTGAAGGAGACCCAGATGGGATTTGTGCCTTTTGTCTACTCCCTAGCTCAGCACCGCTCTCTGGTTCTCCTGCTGGCTGCACTGCTTTGCATGGCTGGGGGTTTGGGGACAAAGGCACAGAGGGCCTTTCTGAATTCGCTGATCTCGCGTAGCCACACATACATAGTGCATACATGAGAGGAAAATAAATCAATCGTTTGGAGAGAAACTTCAAAATGGAATGAAATCACAGTTGTAAGAGTCTGCTCCCTAGTAATCCATGTCTGCCTCCCATGTTTTATCAAAGGGAACCAAGTAATGAGCAGAGAGAGGATGAGGGGAGCAAACGGAGAGTAGAAGCCAGACAGACTCCTCTGTGCTTGACCTGGAATCATATTCTGCAGTGGGCAGAGGTGTTCCTTTCATAGCTCAGGCTTTGCCTGGACCAGACTCTTTGCCTTTCTCTACGTTTCAATATTCTTCTTTAACATGAAAGCATTCTCAGAGTGCTGATATAAAACCACCCTGAAATTTCACTAGAAAAGGTATAATTTCAAGCACATTCTGTACTTCAGACAGCAAGGACAACAGGACGCCACGTTGACACGCATCCTTCCAGCAGTCGTTCCTGCCAAGTCATGACCTTGAGTTTCAGCAATTACAATAAAGCCTGTGGGTGAGGCTTTGGGAAGCCTACCATACCAGAATGCAGTGAGAATGTGTGTGTGTGTGTGTGTGTGTGTGTGTGTTTGTGGGAGGGATGTGGGAGATGCGGAAGTAACAAAATACTAATACATATGATATATATGAATGTATTTACTCCTCTAAGTCACTCATTGAGCCCATGCTCTGTACAGACTTGGTGACGCGCTGAAAAAGCAGAAATAAAACCCTAAAAGACATGAAATGATGCCTCCAGACAGTCACACCTTATTGCAACTGGCAAGTAAACAGAAGGGTAGAATGCCACATATCAAATGAGGTAATGGAGGTTACGCACAGGGCACCGTACCAGCTCAGAGGGAGTGGGAAGGGTTGTGCAGGGGACAGTTCAGGGAATGCTTGTTTGGGGAGGCAGCATTCAAAAGGAGTCCTGAAGAATGAGGAGGAGTTAGACAAGTGAAGATGGAAAGGGCATTCCAGGCAGAGGGAACAGCATAGACTAAGGCCTTTGGTAAAGAGTACATAGACTATGTGGTGGGAGATGACGGTAGGGAAGTAGACAGGGTTCAAATCCAAACACAAAAAATAGTAAGCCAAATACATTCAGTCAGATGCAATTATCTGTCCCATCCATCTTACGTTAGGATAATGAAAGGATAAATGCATACAAGTGCTATGCTTTATAGTTCTAAAACGTTCTTCACTTCCCAATCAAGTGAAAATGTATCAATCACGTCATCTTATTTGAAATTGCCTTCTAACACACCACGATGCCTTGTTTCCAGTTACTTAAGTTTATTCCATCAGTGACTTGTTCAAGCAATTGTTCTAAGTCCAGCAACACTCAGCAAATTAGAAGACTCTACCTATTTCTCTGCTCTATGTCTAACAATCTGTTTATGGAAGCGATCGCTGCTGCCTTTACTGAAGTAATTGGGGCATCTCCTAGATCCAACAACCAGCAACTAGGTAAGAAAAAACAACAATTAAGTACTCATCAAGTTTATGATGTATAAGACTCAATCTGACAAACTTTCCATACTGCAAAAATAGGCATTAAATTTAATAGGCCATTCCTCTAAGATCAGAAGTATGAACTTAGGGGCATCTGGCTGGCCCAGTCAGTAGAGCATGTGACTCTAAATCTCAGAGCCGTGAGTTCAAACCCCGCATTGGGCATGAAGCCTACTTAAAAAAAAAAAAAAAAAGTATTAACTTAATACAACGGGTGGAAAATGCACCGTTTTGGCACACAGTGAGTACTCAAAAATGGGAGATGTTATCATCATAACTACTAATTGTCAGAGCCTTGTTGGTTGTTAGCCATTTGGTAAGAATTGGCCAGCCCATGTGAATGCATGATAAAAACTTGGAGATATCTTTTCTCAAATATTCCAAGCAGCTGCACACCCTTGAACTATTCAGTCCACCCGAGCTCTGAGAGAATGTCACCGTGCCCAAATAGATCTGATGAATTGTTTTAGGGAAAGCTTTCTTCTTCTTTGTTCCTCATTTTGGGCAAGTCTGAAGGAGCCTTTAACAGCTGAGAAATTTAGAATTTAATCCCCTCTGTGCTGCAAAAATATGCATCAAAAATGTGGCATTCCAGTTGCTTGCTCTTTAGAGTTGGAATGTAATTTATCAGACTTATAGCAGAAATACCTATTTCAAAATAAAACCCAAAGAGAACTCATGATTTAGGGAGAAAACAATTGCAAATATTTGTACCTAGCAAATTTGCAAGCTATATTAATGTTTGTACGTTTTTATTCTTTCCGCCACAGAATTAGTCTTTAACCTCAGGATAAAGTCTTTATCTTTTAATTTAGTCAGCTGCTAGATTTTTTGTTTCTTTTTCATAAATGATTAACAATAGTATAAAGCTGTATTTTTCCATTTAAATAGTATTATTTAATTACCAGAGTAGTTGCTTTCCAGGGTAAAACTGTATATATTTTGTCCATATGCTGTCATTTCTCAATAATAAATATTTGTGTTGACTGTTTATTTATATCAGTGCACAAACCCCTCACACCTTGACAAGTGCCTACCC